CAGTATTTAGTTTTGTTTCTCCAAAGTTTAGGAAGGAAAATGGTTATATTCTAAAAGGCAAAATGGTTCAGAATTTTTTCCTACATGGCTTTGGAATATGTTTTTATATTTATAGTTAAGTGTGTATGTTAGTCTTCTATTCTTGCATGACAAATAGCTACAAACTTAGCAGCTTAGAACAACACATGTTTTTGTGGCGTTTTTTTACTCGCAGCTCTTGCAAGTACTTATTATGTTGCTAGAGGCTCTGCTCAGGGTACTCGATGGCTAAATTTAATGTTTTGGCTGGATTGAATTCACACCTGGGGGCCTTAGAGACAAAATTGCTTCCAAGCTCTTACAGATTGCTGACAGGATTTAATTCCTTGTAGTTGTAGAAATGAAGTCCCATTGTGTCAGCCAACCAGGACCCTCATTCTTTCTATTTGGTCTTCTCTCGCTTTAAGTGAACAATGCCCTATAAAGTCCTCGTACATAGAAGCTCTGACTTCTTCATTGAGCAGCTAGGGAAAACTGCTCTCTGATGGGTTCTTCTGAGTAAGTCAGACCCACTGGGATGCTGCCCTTGTCGTGGTGGTGGTTGCTATGCAACGTTGAATAGATTCTGACTTGTGAGGACCTAAAAGACAGAATAGATCTGTTCCATTGGATTTCCTAAGCTTAAATCTTTACAAGAGCAACTCGTCTGGTCTCTAGCATCTAGGCTGTAGGTTTGAATGCCAGCCTTCTGGGTGGCAGCCACGCATCTAGCCATTGTGCCACCAGAGCTCTTTATCTTCAGTTTCACAGCATCATTTTCCTCTTTGGGATCTTCATTGTATCTGCAAAGTCCTTTCACAGCAGCACCTCCATTAGTGTTTGACTGAATAATAAGAAAAGGTTTATATAACAGCAAAGGCCAAGAATCTTAGGAGGTATCTTAAAGATCGATTTACTTTAATATACCGGCATTAGATTTTATTCTAAGAAATAATTCAAATAGAATAGCAAAGCCTCCCTGAAAATCTCACAGAGGAAGAGCTGGAAAAGCTTTCTGAATTGCTTGGATGTCGGTTGTCTTGCCTCTTTGAGTAAGAAAGGGAAATAATGCCTTCATTTTACCTGTACTGGTATCCTTATTCCCTTGTGTGGGGTTTATATTAACTTTAGTCAAAGACTTTGGACTTTATTTCCTGTTCTCAAGAGAACATCTCTTCAAAAACCCCTTGCAGTTGAAGTGTCTTTGGTAAGTACTTAAGACCATACCTAATTAACAAGGTAAGCAAGGTGATGAAATGACTTTGAGGTGGGCACTTGGACAGGCCAGAAAAACCCCATGGCATAATACCTTGTGATCTTCTTTCGGGCTTGACCAGGCTTAGGGCAGAGCCCCAGTGAAAGCTGATCGCTGAAGCTTTATGTGCGTCCAGGCTGGTGTAAGGCATCAGTGCACGCGGGAGCCTAGTGTATCCTCTGAAATGGGGAAGCTTCATGCTGAGAACCCTCTCTGGTCTCCCACTGTGTGTTTTTCTTTTTGTAACCTTTTTTCCCCTACAGTAAAACTGGTTGGAAGAATAGTACTTTCCGTGAGTTCTGAGTCATTCGAGTGAATTATTGCATACAAAGAAGTAATGGGAGTCAGCAGGTCAGAAATAAAAG